AATCGAATTCCAAGTAGTAGAGAAAAATTTTACCTTCTTTAACGTCGGCAGTGACTCCGTTGCAGCAATGGTTAGCGGTCGACATCTTCTCTAGTGTCTGGTTCTCTTCTCCGACAGAGGATGACAGGCAGATTGAGGTTCCCCTGCGACACTATATTTATATACTCACCCCGCATCGATCTGGATTATCCACCCACTTCGACGTGGAGTGAGGAGAGTCATCTGACCGTTACCTATTTAGGCCGATTGCATGGGTGAATCTGGACCGTTCATCGTGATTGATTTTGTTCTTCCGATCGCACATAAGGAGGGAACACATCTGAGCCCTTCATGCTTGCAGGATCGAATCTGAGCCGTCAAATTGCTGGGCACGCATATCACCCACGTGGCACTGACATCAGTGTGCTTTGTCACACGGCGTGCTCTGGTTCGTCGCATTTGCTGACTGGCCATTCCACGTGACTGATTTTTTTTTTTTTTTTACATTTTGACATTTTGTTTCTAATTTTTCTTTCAAAAACACCCCCCGAACTAAATTTTCACTCCTTTTTTTCAAAATTGCTTTCAATTACGTTTTTAACCTATTTTTAATTATTTTTATAAATGTCAAAATTAATTCCGGGCTCGAGTATTACATCTTGTGCTAATTCTCGCAAGTTTATCATTGATTTATGTGTCTTTCTAGGTGATTTTTATATCTTGGAAGATTAAAAAATAACAAATTATTTCTCGATCTTCTTTTAAAATAGAGTATCAAACTATGGCTATGGTCACTTGTGAATTGTAATGGTTATAATTTTTGCTTCTTAATTTGTATGTTACTTCTTCTACTATAACATTATATTGTGATAATTTATTTTCTATGAGTATTGCAAAGAATCATGTTTTTCATGAGTGCACTAAGCACACCAAAATTGGTTGCCATATTATTCGTCAAAAAAGTTTTAGATGGTTTCATTTATTTGTTGTCTATATCATCTTCTCATTAGTTTACTGACTGTTTTACCAAAACACTTCCTCTGTCTCAGCTTCATCAGACTATAGTCAAGTTTGATATCCAGAATATGTATACTCCAGTTTGAGGGAGAACTATAAAATTATATGTTATTGTGGTACTTAACGTAATTTCAAAAATATACGGATTTAAATTGTAATAGTCATAAGTTTAATTTTTTTGTATAAATATTTCTTTCGACATTTAATAAAGTACAAAAATTATTTTTTACTTTCTTCAATCTCATATTTCTCTTTCGTAAACTTTCTTGAGTATCATTCAATCTACTCGGATTCTCACCAGATTTCTTCTACATTCAAGAAATCTTGTTTAACTTTTAGTATAGATTCTTTACAGAATTTAATAAGAAATTTAAATATATTGATATATTTATATAACTATTTACTTTAGTGTATTTAATTTTAAGTTTGTTACCAAATATTGCAATGTCGTATACATGGTTTAGTAAAGAAAAGGAGTTCGATAAAACTCTCTTATTTGGATTTAAAAAGCTCCTTGTGAAGCTTTTCATGTCTTTCAAAATTTCTTAGTTTTAATTAATAAATAGTGAGTCACTCTTCACCCTTATATATATATAAGATATTGGTTAATAATGGATTTTTGTATCATAATTTGTTCATCGTAATAATTATATTTAATAAATTTATAGTTTAAATATACTTTTGATAATTAATAATAATATATTTAAATACATCAATATAATAGTACACTAACCATATTTTTTATTTTAATAAATAATAAATTCTTAAATAAGTGCAATAATTATTAAATACTTGCAAATGTTTAGATAATAAACATATTTATAATTTTATGCTTAATATAAAGCATCACTTTTAATTATTTTTTTACCATCAATATTAAAAATCAAATTTCTTTTCTAGTTGTCTCTTTTAAATATATTTATATAATTATTATCAATTATAAATTTTATTTTTTTGTATTAATTCTGGTCTCCTCTAAACATATTTACATAATGAGCGTCTAAATTCTAAATTTATTTATATAAATATTTGTAGTTGTACACTTGTTGCTTCTTATCTGTTTATTATAATTATTGTATATATTTAATAAATTATCAAATAAATGAAACTTTCTTTATTCATATACAACAAGGATGATACCTTATTTCGTTTATATAAAATAGTATGGAATTTCACCACAGCGATCAACAACTATATAATAAATTATTTGGGTATTAAAAAATGATTTTATGTGAACGAAAAATATCCATAGAATATGTTTAAATTAAAAAAGAATGATTCCAATTACAAATATCAAAAATTACGTAAATTTGTTTTCAGAACACGTGATTAGGCATATTAAGAATAGCAGCCTGTCAAATCAATTTTTTTTATATATCAAATTGATTAATAGAATATGGAAAATTTTACAGTAATTAAATATAAGAATATTCAATTTTATATTATTTGTTTGGAAGGAAATGGGATTGAAGTAAACCAGGCATCATAATTTTGACAATTAATTGATTTGACAAGTCCAATGTATAAAAGTCAAAATTCTTCTAATACCTCAAAATTAATTTTTTTACTTTTTTAAGTTTGACTTCCTTTCATTTACTAAGTTTCTTTTATTTCTTGTCCGCCAATTAAATTTTAACCAAAATGCAAATGCAAATTCCCACAACCATAAAATTCCAACACGTTTCATGTGAGAAAGTAGAAGATTATGATAGCCCAGACGTTTCTTAGGAGGAAGCCAAGTTTTTTTGTTCACCAAAGTGGGTGCTTACTCAATTTCCTCTTCTGCTTTCCTCGGCTTTTAAAGGGCTAACTGAATCCCTCCTTGTGGAGGGTGAGAAGCCTGAGAAACGCTGAATATCCTACCCAATAATCTTTGTACAAAGCTTTTACTATTCGCAATCACATCCTGGTAAATTGATAATAATATGTGTGAAATTTACTGTCAGATGATAAATTTTAACCTCTAATTCAACCAACCTACTCAATTCCAAAGTCAACCTCGCAAGAAGATTCATCAATTGAAAAGGAAACGAGAGGGAAAAAAAAAAAAAAAACAGAAGATCATGAGAAGAGACAGCAAGACTACAATGGTAGCAAGAGAAAACAGGGTCTAGCAATCACTAACGGCAGAAGAAATACCCAAGAACAGACTACGACTGTCCTACGCAGGAAATAGAAGGAAACAGAACCACTATTTAACTGATGACTCTTATATTGAAATACATGACCTACAGAAGTAAGCAAACATTTATTTGTAGATGGTATTTGATTAAACCATCATGCCTGTAAATAACCCTGGAACCTCTAAATTATAACGACAGCCATGAAACAACAAGCATCTCATTAAGGTCATCGACCATCCCAAATTCCTTGACAAAACTGACAAATGATAGCTCTAATCACTGCTAGACCTTTGGATGCCAAAGAATTGTACATGAAATGTGGCGAATTACAAGGCTTTCTACTCCAGTCTAGCTAATGACTTAAATCAATGAGAGAAAATGGAATCCATGGGGAGGGGGGGAAGATGAGCTATACCTGAAAGTATTATATACGAACCCGATCTGGTGGGTCCATATGCTTGTTCCATGTTATATCAGGCACTCTTCAGAGCTCCAATCCATCTGAAAGCTTTCCGAACTTCTTAAGAATGTTATGTCATTGAGAAACCTCGGGCAGGCATTGGAAGCATTGGGAGCATTAAAAACAACTTGTGTGGATTGCATCAAAAGATACATAACATGGAGTAGTTTAGACCCCTTCAGATATCCGTATGTACACATTAAGGCTAACCATACAAACACCAGCCAGGCTATGATGAGTTCTTATTTGCTTTTAGGTTAACCATGAGTAACAACTATAGGATATTACACCATAGCAGAAGCAGTACGGCGAAGATCTACCACCTCAAATTTCCCACTAGTCTGCCTACCTTTGAAACTCCCATACCTTCCGGGATTTTGCTGAAACAGAGAACTAAGCATTTTTTCCAAAGTTTGCACCGTATACTTTGCGTACTTGCTCGAACTTGGGTCCTGCTCAACCAACGGCCCATAATTCTGCATATAGCTACGATAAACAGGCAAAACAGCCTGCATGATATGCTGGCATGTTTTCTCTCTTAGATCTCGCTCTGGCACAATCCAATTAGACTGCTTCTTATACATCTCATCAAAAGCCTCATTGAATGATCTCAATCTTTTCTTGACAAGGTCACGAGCAGTAGCACGCCCACCTGAGAACAGAATAAGACCTTCTCGGCTTAAATGTGCTGGAAGCTTCCCCCAACTGTCTCTCAAGAAGACTGTTGCATAATACTCTTTGTACTGCTCATGCTCTCTTAACCATGAATCTCCTAAGAGATCCCCCAGCTTCGTTCCCTTCAAGTGCTTGTACAAATGCCAGTGGTTGTTCATAGCAAAAAGATTCGAAAGACTTGTGTCTTCATAGGATTTCATCCATGTCTCTAAATTCTGCTCAATGGCTTTAATTATGTTAATAACTTCCGTGACAAGGAGCCTCTCCTGGAATTTCTCATGCTTCCAACTTCGATGAATGACTAGAACCTGGGTCAAGATAGGCTTATAATTATCACCAAGCAACTTATTGCAATACTCTGTAACAAAGCTAACCAATCTAGGAACACCCCCATCAGGAGGAGGCGGACTCTGCCTCTGTAGCTCAACCTGGACCAGAAGTTCCCAGAATATTTCTGATGCCCCATCAATAACCCTTTTGATGAGATCCCTCGTCAGGTTTTGGATCTCAACACAAGCCACTCCACCAAACAACCGGTTAAAATCCAATCTCAGTTTGTTCAAAGAAGCAAAAATATCCAATAATTTCAGAAGTTTGATAGGATCTTTCTTACTCTCTGTAACAGTCTTCCCAAATTGAAGAAATGCAAGAATTCCTGCCTGTGCAGCTATCTTGGCAAAGCAACCCTTCCACACATCCAATCCAATTCTCTCAAAAACATCATTACAAAGTGTGTACTCTGCCTCAAATAAATGCTTCACTGCAAACTCCAAATGTTTTCCCCACTGTGCTATGTAGCCCTCTATACTCTGTATGTCATTGAATTCTGAGATGGAGATCTCCAGATAGTCCAAATTAAGAGATTGTAAACTGGCTCTAACATTTGCACTTCGGACTTCAACATAGATGGAGATGCACTTGTCAAGCTTATTATTGGCAATCAACCTACCAAGAATTGCCTGTACTTTCTGAACAACAGTCACAGGCAAAGGGGACGGGGCAATGCAAGCTTGTTCACCTAGTGCTGATGAAGATGACATTGGGAGTGGGACACTATGATCTGTTAGCAGTCGCCTGAACTCAGTCTCCAATTTCTCCAGGGCAGCATCCAATAGCCCACCATCAAGATGTACTTTTTCCCTATCGATTTGCAAATCTCTAAGACCCTTTAATGACTTCTTCAGGTTTGAAAGGTACCTTTCATCAGCAACCCTATTGTCCTCCAGGTACTCTACTATGTCCTCCAACCACTGAATTGCCAGTCCACAATTATCCCCCAAGAACCTCAATGCCTCTTCCAGGCGTTTTTGCACCGATAAATAACCAGGGAGATCGTTCCTGGGATCTGACAATAGTGACTTTTCAAGCCCATGAACGGCATCAAAAACCTTGAGCACTGCTGCGGCAGGGGCTACAGCACGATTAATGTGACCTCCAACGGCAAGAAGGGCATCCCTGTCAGCGCGGATGGGCCGGACTGCAGCTTCAAGAGATGGCAACCTCTGGTTAATCTCATCTATTCTCGGCCCTATTTTTTCAAGAGCTAATCCTATGGCTCTTGATTTCTCTAAATTTAACTTCAACGACTTCCTCGCAGCTATCAAGTTGTCAATACAACTTTTATTAGCATTACCCATCGACGATGCCATTTAAATCTAAAATCAAAACCCTAGCCCTTGAAATCCCAACTTTAAGCAATTTGAACCCGCTATCTCACTCAATTTATGACTCAATAAGCAGCAAATTTTATACTTACAGATAACACTCAATCTTCGCTACGAGTGCTTTTCTCAATCCCTATCGGATTCATCGCGTATAGCGCCAAAATCAACCCGGATTTTTCAGTTGAGAAGAAATCCTCATTTTCTTCACCGAACTTCACCAAATCGAACCGAACTAAAAAGTAACAAGCAACACAGAAACTTTTAGCAAAAAGCTGCCAAACGATAAGTAAAATATTAAAAGGGCTGGACTCTGTGCGTGAGAGAATGAGAGGAAGCACAGGGATATGGAAAAGAAAACATATGCCGATGGGATTTGAGAGAGAGCGAGTTGACCCGGCGAGTTCAGCTGGGAGAAGAGTAGTAAAGGAATCTGAATCAGTTGGTTTGTGATTCAGAGAGAGAAAATGAAAACCCTAAAACAAAATCTGAAGGGAGAAGGGAAGAAAGCACCTTACGAACTTTTGATTAGACTTTTGGAAATTCGATGGATCATGCCAAAGTGCATGACAGTAAAGCAAACAGGCTTCTCTGTACACACTCTAAACATAAACGCTCCCTGATTTCTTCTTCTCCTTTTTTTTTTTTTCCTTTACAACTCTCACACTGCTTATTTATTTCCCATTTGTATATTTTTAATATGGATGAAAATTAATTTAGATTTTACTCATAAACTCTGTCATTTAATTTATTATCTTGAAAGTTTTAATAAACTAAAATTCTGTAGCTTTAACAATTAAATTAATTTTTATACATGAAATTTTAAAAAATAATAATAGTAATTTTTTTGTCGCCCGGTTATTGAAAATTTTACTTGTAAAACATTAAATGAAACATGAAAATGATGAGTTTAGATTGGAATGTGTAGTTGTATGGAAAATAAATTTTGGTAAGTAATTACTACAACCTAATTAAAAGTTAAAATTAAAAATTTTAATGTAACAAAAACACACTAGGTCAAAGATCATTAGTTTAGATGTTTCGTAACTTAATTTTTATTAAGAGGGTATGGTTTCTAATCTTCCCATAAATTTTAGTTCCTTTTTTTTTTTTTCAAAATCCAAAAAAAAGTACAGTTGATAAAAAAAAAAAATGTTACTGGGTTACGGTTGAATGCATGTGAATAATTGTCAAAACCCACGAACATGAATATGATCATGTCTTTTTGAGTTTGATATGATATATATATATATGAATATTCTGAACATATCAGAAAAATATTGTATTAAAAATTATAAAGCGAATGTCATATTCGTTATAAGTTTTATTTATGTAGTCTAACTTGTATAAATTAATTAGCGTGGAAGCTGAAATTCATCTGTTGGGCCTGTCTCATTCAATTAATGAACATATCATCCTTTTTTTTTTCTTATAATTATTATTATTGTAATAGCCTAGATATGTAAGGGAGGTTGGGATGGGTTTGGAATGGGTATAAAAAGGGCATCGGGTAGAGAGAGGAAAGAAACAAGAGAGAAAGAAGGAAAAAGGGAAAAGGGAAAACAGAGAGTGCGGGAGAGAGAGAGGGAGACGATTGCGAGAGACGGTTAGCCGGAGGCAAGTGCGGGAGGAGAACTGATCGAAAGTTCAGAAAGAGGGGAGGTCACGGTAGCTTTGGGAGATAAAGGAGTATGAAAGCAAAAGGAAAACGGAATTTGGAGTTTCAAACTTAATTATGGCAAATACACTGTGAAATTTTGTGTTGCAGGTTAGCTAAGTTAGGGAGACGGAGAGATGTTGTAGAGGAAGAGGTCTGATGGAAGGTCGAAGTTGAAGGAAGAAAGGGAGAATGGGCAGTCGTAGTCGTCAGGGTGAGATTGATTTTAGTTGTATCCGTAGGCGCAAAAGAGAGAAGTGGAAGGGACTCATATTTATGGTTGTGTGTGAGCTAGAACCGATTGTGAGAAGGAAGGAGTGGTGCGCGACCGAGAGGTAGGGGAAAAGTGAGGTCTATATACACTAAATGTATAGATGTATGTATAAGCGTGTCGGTACAGCTTACAGTACGTGTTGGTGAGTGCATTAGACCATTTGGCTATTGAGCTCGGGTTTTAGAGTGCAGGAATGGCGACTGATAGCTCACAGTGGCGGTATGTGGAGAAGAGTGAGTGTATGAGGCCATTTGGTCTCTAATTTCGAGTTCTGGTGTACAGGCATGGCAATTGGTTTTCACAGTGGGTGTACGGGTGGGTGCGTGAGTGTGTGAGGCCATTTGGCTACTGTTTATAAATTTCAGTGTGCTAGTAAGGCGATTGGTGACTCATAGTGTGTGAATGTATATATACTTGGGTAGGGGAGGCCTCTTGGCTAGTTTTCACATATTCTGGTGTGCTGGTATGGCAATTAGTGGCTCGCGGCATGTGCATGTGTAGGTGTGTGTGTGTAAGGCCTTTGGCCGATGCTTGTAGATATGGATATGCCGGTGTGATGAGTTGTGACATGTTGTATTTATGGCCACTTGGTGGTCGACAGGGCACTCACTTGGTCAGGTGTGTGTGAGGCTGTCGGCCGGCATTGGTGGTGTTCGGTGGGGTCATTTAGTGGTCATTGTCGCGGAGTTAGCAGTGTGTATTCGATTTTTAGGTGTGATGGTGCATGAGGCCATGTAATGGCCGACATGGTGATTGTGGTTGTTGTTGGGGTGAGGTCACGGAATGCAACAAGGGTGTGCGTGTATGGTCCTGGTGGGCCAGTATTGGAAAGTGGATGTGTGAAAAATTGGTGGGGTAGATTGAGAGTGTGTATGGGTGAGGCATAGGGACTACCAAAATAGTATTGAATTGGTAAGGTACTATGGTCGAAAAGGGTAGAGTGCATTCTCATTCTGTGATTGGAGAAGTAGGGGGTTAACAGTAAGGGGCTAAGAGGGAGTTGGGTTGTCATTTATTGGTTATCAAGGGAGGAAAAACAGAATGATAGAAGTAGGGAGATGATAGTAGGGAGGGAGGTTATTTAATTGTCATTCGTTAGCTTTTAGTTCCAAATTTTATCTTATTGGGTTATGTATACTCATTACTTTCATTTTCAGATATTTTGAGGCGGGAACCGGAACCGGAGTGGTTAGTAATGGAGCACCAGACTTAAAAGAAACATGATATTATCAATTATAATGAGATATAGTAGTATATCCATCATATTAAAATAGCATTAAAACTTCCATGTGTATGGTGATTGTTGTAGAGTTTCTTTGATTGTAGAGTTGTATCATTGTAACGAGAACTGATTTACTTATGAATTGATGGATATGAGATTTAGTTTGAGGTTCTAAATATCTTGTTCTGGGTAGGAGGATGAATAGTGTATAATCATATAGTAAAACAGTACAGGGGTGTCACAGTTGGTATCAGAGCATCATCATAGGACAGAGAGTGTTTAGCAAGTTATGATATCCCTTATTTTTCAAGGAAACAAAAACTAATGCAGGGTGTTATAATGCAGGTAGATAAGGAGAGGCAATGAAAAGAGGTAGGAGCTGACACCGACGAGGATCGACGCCAGCCCCTCGGGAGATGCCGACAGCATTCCACGAGGCATTGTCGTTCCAGCAAGTGCCACTTTTCGCATTTCAAGAGTCGCCCCCATTCACAGCAGTACCACCCGCCACTCATCCTAGACCATCCCAGGTGCCGTCAATGGGACAGACCACTGGCCACCAAGATGACTTCAATCAGTTATGCAAAGTAGTGAAGAGTCTAGCCATTATGATTCGGGATAGGGAATTAAGGTCGGAGCCATCCTTTCAGGTACATCAGAGTGTTGGCCAAGGGGGGGCTGGAAACGAGTAATATTGAGAAATATCAAAGATTAAATCCCCCTGCATTTAATGGAGGTTCCGACCCACTAGTTGCAGAAGATTGGATCAAGTAAACCAAGAAGTTATTTGATGTAATAGAGGTAACAACCAAACAAAAAGTACAGCTAGCCACTTTCATGTTAAGAGGATCCGTTGAACGTTGGTGGAATCTGAAAAGAGGGACTCTAATCCCTTCAATGACTTGGGAAGTGTTCCTAGAGGCGTTCAATAATGAGTACTTCCCAGACTTTCTCATACGGAGAAAATAGACTAAATTTACAGAGCTATGTCAAGGGGAAGTTGTCAATGACAAAGTATGCAGAGAAGTACATAGAATTAGGTCATTTTGCTTTGGAAGTTATGCTGAATGAATTGAAGAAGGCAAGAAGATTTGAGAAATGACTGAGACCAGATGTGTGTTAAAACTCCTTACATATGTGCAGGAGAAATGCCATAACATCATACACACTCTTTACATATGTGTGTTAAAACTCTTGATTCTAGTATTTGTATGATATTTATTCCATAAGACTCCTTGTAATGTCTTAAATAATATTTGAAAATACTTTGATTCAAGAGGGCCTATTCGACACTCAACTTAAGGGAAGAAGATAGAGTGGTAAAAGGTAAGAGTGGGTGAGATTATCAAAAGATAAAAGTTAAGTGAGTAGAATATGAGAGAACTGGTAAAGAGTTTTTTTTATTAACCCTTTTGCAGGAAATCTTCTTGAAATGTAAAGAGAGCGTTAAAGTCCCACCAACATAAGGCTCTTTATGGAGATTATACAGGTAAAATTGGCATAACTTAATTAAAAGGTAGATAACTTGAATAGTGATCGAAGTGAAGCAAGAAACAGGACTCCTAACACCAGAGGACCTAGAACCTGAATCCCCAATGATGAGGCCAAGTCCTGTAATAGTTATGAAGAATAATATCAGGTTAAAAAGAAAGAAGATAGGAGAGACAATAATATTAGTTCCATCAAAATAAAGATACCATCATTCAAATGTAGAAATGATGCAGAAGCCTACCTGAAGTAGAAAAGAAAAGTAGAGTTGGTCTTCGACTGCCACAACTACAGTGAAGAAAAGAAAATCAAGTTGATAGCTATAGAATTTACTAATTATGCCCTAGTGTGGTGGGATCAACTAATCCTTACTAAACAATGTAATGGGGAACAACCAGTCTCCACCTGAAAAGAGATGAAGGTCATCATGCGAAAAAAGGTTATACCCTCTTATTACTATAAAGAAATGCATTAGAAATTGCAACATTTAACACAAGAAACTATGTCCCTTGAGGACTATCACAAAGAGATGGAGATGGTCATGATTAGGGTCAATATCGAAGAAGATCTAGAAGCAACCGTGGCAAGATTCTTGAGAGGTCTTAATAAGGAGATTGCTAATACCATAGAGTTGGAACACTACATAAAGTTGGAAGATAAAGTGCACATGACCATGAAAATTGAGAGACAACTCAAGTATAAAGGGAGGGGCACATCATATGTCAATCCTACCTATAGCTCATAATGGCCCAAGAAGAAGAAAACAAGGGAGCATATGAGAAGAAGGAAAATTCTGCAACACCTAATCCAATAGGAAGGACACCTAACTCATCTCAAAAGCATAGTACAATTAAATGCTTTAAGTGACTTGGAACTGAACATATTGCCTCTCAATGCCTAAATAAAGAGATCATGCTATTGAGTGATGATGGTAAAATTGATAGTGCCAGTGATTGTAAGAATGAAAATAATTATAGCATGCCACCACTAGAGGATGTTGAAG